CAGCCAGAGGGGCCCTCCCCAGGCGCCCTTGTTTTCCTGCCTGCATCTGGCTCTCAGCAGCTGGCCTGTTCCTGGGGCTGGCCTGCCATGTAGCTAGTCCGATCTGTGATGTCCTCAGGTGCAGGGTGCCTGCAGGACTCACAGCTAAGCCCAGAAGAGAGAACCCAGGGGAGTCAGGAGTTCTGGTCGACCTTGAGCCAGTCACTTCTCTGACCCGATGTCCCACCTGTAAAATGGAATGGAATAGATATTCTCTGAGTGTCCCTGGTGCCAGTCGTGCCAGAGCCCCCATCCTAGATTCAGTGGGGGGAGGCTGGGTCTCCACTGAGGCCTTGCTGGCCCCGAATCCTGGCAGCAGCTGTAGCTGGCCGCCCACGCACAGGCAGACAGGCGGGAGGCAGGGTGCTGCAGCCTTGTTGCTAAGCACTGAGAACTTTCCACTGGGTATGGGTTTCCATCACCATGGCAACTGCTGGGGGGGTGTGGAAGCAGAATGCCTCAGAATTCCGGGGAGATTACATGGGGGAGGAAAGAACAAGAAAGTGAGCCCTGAGCAGACCCTGAAGTGGACAAGACCAGCAAGCGCCCAAGTGGCTCCCACATTTTATCTCTGCCCTCTTAATTCCCTCTTCCCCCTCTTCCCCCTCTTCTCATGCTTTTCTCTGTATCCTTTTCTCCTTTCTCTAGGTCTCTCTTTTCCTGCTCTCCTCCCTGAGCCCTTGCCCTTAGGAGCAGTGGCTAACATTTACTTAGCACATGCTGTATCTCAGGCACCGTTCCACACGTGAACTCATTTAATCCTCCTACCCCTGTGTGGTAGATACTATGACCATCCCATTTTACAGATGGGAAAGTGGAGGCCCAGGGAGGTGGGGTGACTTGCCCAGCTCACATACTAACTGATGGATTCAGGAGTTTGGTTGGACTTTAGTGACTGCACACTCAGCCACTATGGTGTCTGGAGGATCTCCCTTGTCTGAGAAATTCCAGGAGTTGTTAATAAATTGAGGGGGAGGGGGGAACAGGGGACACAGGTGGCACATGTCCATGCTCTGGAGACCCCACAGGGCCTTCCTCACTCTCCCCTCACTCTGTCTGTACCTCATACCAACATTCTTGGCTAAGGCCAGGCCCAGGGCAATGTCAGCTGCCCACACCTCCCGGGCACTGCTGGTGGCTGAGTTCCCCAGCCTTGGCTGACAGTACTTGCTCTCTCAGGCCCAGGGAAGGCTCTTGGCCTATGGATGGCACTGGGAGGTCTGAGAGGCCAGAAACCCAGGTACCATTCCCATCACCAACTCATTCCTGCAGGGTGCCCTGGGGAGAGAGAACCTGACCAGGGAGCCCGGCCTATGCCACTCAGAATTCCTGGGGGCGGGGGACAGGGTTCACTGCTCTCCTCGAAACCTCCCAGGTGATAGTGAAAGGCTAGTGGGAGATCATATATAAAGAGATTGTGAAAGCAAGGGAGATAGCAATCCAGTCAGTGTCATGGCATGACCTCCATGGTGAGCCACTCAGCCCAGGCTAATAAAGACCAGAACAAACTGGAGACTGAGGAACAATTGCTTCAGCTCTGGGGACTGAGAATCCCTTCTTCATAGCTTTAAAGATGGTTGACCTCTGTCCAGGCTGGCTCTGCCACTCCTCGCTCCCTCCTGGCTTCCACATCCTTGTAGCTCATGCTCCTCTACTCACTACCTTCAGTGTGAGTTTTGTCTTCTGATGCCTCTACTTATCATCCCACAGTCTCTCCAAATCTCTGGCTCAAATTCCCAAGAGAGAGAGAGATCCAGCCTGGACCTCTAGCACCCTGATTGGGCAGAAATCTCGCTCCAGACCATCCCATTGGCTGCTGGCCAGGCTACTGATTGGCTGCTCTAAGTCTGGTACTTCCCCACCACCACCACCCTTCTAATCAACTGTGGCCAGGGAGACCAGGTCCCATGTTACTAAATATTGTTGCTGAAATAGTTGATGCATTTCTTCATTCTTTAAGCCATTTGGAACTAAGGATTCTTTTATATGAGTAGCCATCTCACTAACTTGGAGTTGGGCCTCATGCCCTTGGTGATGAGTCGGTTGCTTCTGGTAAGTGGCCAGTTGAATTGAGATTTTTGTTACTTGCAGCCAAAACCTTCTGGCTGGCACCCCATTTCATAGGTTTATTGCAAGATTGAATGAGTCAGACCTGTTCAAGGTCAGTCATGACCTTACGGAACTGAGGTGGGGAATCCAGAATGTTGGCCCAAGAAATCTGGAAGCCCCACTTCTATTCATGGGCTTCCTTCCAGTGGCCAGCCGGAAGTTACATGGGAGGCTTGCATTTCAACCCGCAGTCATTAGTGGCTATGCCCTGCCCCCAAGATGCCTATGCAGCAACAGACCAGAGAAATTAACTCATCCAAGCTCTTCCCACCATCCGGTCACAGGAGGGCACAAACCAGGCTCTGAATGTTCAGTCCTGGGCCACAGCCCCCATTTGAGGAGCCATATTTCTATCACCCATGTGGGGAGGGGGGTACATCTCTGCAGCCAGAGGCCTCCCCAGTCCCCACAGGGCTTCACCACAAGTTCCAATCAGCCAGCCCTACATATGTCTCCCTAATACCTGGAGCCTCATGATCAAAGAGACCATGGCTGCATCTTCAATGTATTATTTATGCCTCACTATGTGGACAGGATGTACTAGCTCAGTACAGGGTACCAGGAAGGGTGGGAAGACAGGACCATCAAGGAAGACAGAGAAGTTCCAGAGCAAGACTGAGCTTTACAGAACACCCAGCCCAACCCCCCGTCTTCCAGCCTCTGCTTGTACACCTCTGATGACACAGAATCATCCCTTGGTTGTTTTATGGGGCCTTCTTTGGCATGAATGAAAATAGCCTTTTTGTAACTGCAGTCATTGGGGCTATCCCTCTGCAACCACTGAGTGAGCATGCCTTACTCTCCACACTTGATTCCACCCAATCCATTTAGGCAGGCCCCTGACCTCCAGAATCCTCACCATACCAGTCATTTTTGTCTGTCTTTTTTCCTAAAGTAGGGGTTGGCAAACTACAGTCCAAGGACCAAAGCTGGCCCATTACTTGATTTTATAAATAAAGTTTTATTAGAACACAGTCACACTTATTTGTTTATTACTGTTTATTATTGAAATGGAAGCTCACCTAGACTACCTGGCCCTTTACGGAAAGAGTTTTCTGACCTCTCTTCTAAAGCAGTAGTGGCCCCTCAATAGCACAGGAGACACCAGGTATGGCCTGACCTTCAGGAGAATCACCTCCTTCCCCATGTGTGACTGCTTGGTGCAGCTTCAGATGCTATCAGGTTCCAGCAGCCAGGACTCCAAGAGTATTGGCTCCAAGAGAACCTGTGTCAACAAAAATGTCCAGGTCACTTTTGCCTAGCCTGTCGCTAAGGTCTGTTGCCAAAACAAGCTCCCTCCACCCTCGAGTTTTGCAGGACTTGAATTTATCTTAGTTCATTTCCCTGTGTTGCCTTTGTCCTAACATCTTACCTTATAGAGACTATTTTGAGCCATGAGTCTCTCATCCATTTCTGAGCCAGCTTTCCCAGTTTGTGTTTCCCATATTTTTATTCAGCTTCCTTTCTGTGTACTTATCCAAATTGTTGACTTTAAAAGAGCCCCATAGTATGTCACGATTGATGTCCTTTCTGGGTTGTTATTTATCTACCACTAATCTATGCTCCTTAAGCATCAACCTGCTGTGACCCACCTCTGCCTATAATTTGTGAGTTTCTATTTTACCATATTATCAGTAAAGTAAGGGTATTTGGGGGTATTTTGTCAAATATGTGGTAGAATTCTATTCTGTCCACTTTTCAGAAAATAGAAGGGACTTTGGAAATCACCTAACTGATCCTCTCTTCTCACAGATGATGGAATTGAGATCCAGAAAAGTGACTGGTCCAAGATGACAGAGTGAATTGGTGCTAGAATCAGAAATAGGGTGTTCTTTGCATGACATTTGGATTATTCAGACTGTGTGTTAGTTAGCATAGGCTAACTGCTATAACAAATAGGCCCCAACATGTAACAAATCACTGCAACTGAAGTTTTTTTGCTCACACTAGTCCTGGGTATGTATTCAGGGTGGTTGGTCAGCTGACCGCCTCACTGTCCTTCAGAGATCCAGGCTCCTTCCATTTTGTGGCTCAGCTATCCTATAAGGCCTCATCATAGTCCACCTCCAGGGAACAGAAAGAACAGACCCCTGGCCTAGTGAGAAAAATTCTACTTCTACTTTGCTGAAATTCCAAATGACTTTTTTCTGGCTTTCACTGCTTCCCTCATCCTGCCCTTGAACCATTCCTCCAAACCTCAGCCTTGTCTTGGCCCTTTGTGTCACATGTTGAGCCCCTCTGCCCACTCAGGAAGGGCCTGGTATGGAATCAGGACTGGCCAGGTGGGCAGGGCTGCAGTCCAAGTCACCAAGAAGAGGGAGGCTGGGTGCACTGAACAGCTGGTGTGCATCCAGTCATCATCCATTCTGCAAGGCGGAAAGGAGGGGGGCTCTTTCCTCCATCCTGTGGCAGGAGAGAACAGGAAGCAGCAGCTGGCAAGTTCACAATTGGAGTCTGCCCACACAGAATCACAAATCCTTCTCTCCAAATTTAAATGCCTGGTGCTATGGTGTGAAACACAGTTCCTACCCCGAGGAGAACCAGTCAGGCTCCGGGGTCTGCCCACGGGGTTCTCTAAGAGGGCCTCCTTTGTCATCGCTCCTGTTGTGGCTGAATAACATTGTGAACCCCTGGCCCCAATTGTTAACATTCTACATCCACCAGGCTCCTTCCCTGATGGTAGGTTTCTGGGAATCTATGTTGGTAAAGTCTGGGCTCTCACTCCTAGCATTCGAGGTCTTTCTGTTCTGGCCCACCCCCATCTCATCTCTCCCTACATCTTCTCGAGCCATGTTCTTTCCTGAGGCATCGCAGGTCTTTGGACTCATGAGATTCCTGGTTCTGCCACTTACCAGTGGTATGGGCAATCTCTCTGGGACTCCATTTCCTTATCTGTAAAATATAATTAATAAGAAGTAGTTAGCAGGGATTTGTATGGATTAAGTGAAATAAAGGTATGTAAAAGAGCCTAGTACAATGCTCTATAAATAGCCATCTTCTCTGTGCCTTTCCCCTTTCACACCTGGGTTTCCATGGCTTCCTCTTCCTCTACTCAGCTGCCACTCACACCTCAAGCTCTACCTCCAACGTCTTCCAACGACTATTGGAGGCAGACCTTCTCCAGCCAACCCCCTCCCCATTCTCCTCTTTGCTAATTGGTGGGGAGTAGTTATACATCTGTAACCTGAATAAAACGCAGGGCTCCATGTGAATCAGTCTCTGCATGAAGTTGCACTCAAAGACAATCTAGCAACCAAAAATAATTTTGAAAACTTCAATCCTTATTCTTGATTCTCAAAAAAACAATCAACTTTCATAACCCATCACATATATAATTATATATTGCCATGTTTATATATACATTATAGATAGATAGATATACATATACTAGAGGCCTGGTGCATGAATTCATGGGCAGGTGGGGTCCCTCAGCCTGGCCGGTGATCGGGGCGATCGGGGCTGGCCAGCTGGGGGAGGGACCACGGGAGGTTGGCTGCCCGCAGAATGTTGGTTGTGGGAGCATACTGACCACCAGGGGGAAGCTCCTGCATTGAGCGTCTGCCCCCTGGTGATCAGTGCGTTGTCATAGCCACTGGTCGACAGGTTGTTCGGTTGACCGGTTGTAACAGTCACTTAGGCTTTTATATATAGAGATATACAAAAAATTTTTTCTGAAATCATTTGCAAGTAAGTCAGAGATATCATGCCCCTTTATCCCTAAATACTTCAGTGGGAATTTCCTTTTTAAAAAAGTTTAAAAATTTAGGAAATTAAGCATTTTAGAATTTCATTAATTGTCTCAATAATGTCCTTTATAGGTTTTTTTGTTTTTGTTTTTTTTTTCCCAATCCAAGATCCAATCCAGGGTCTTGAATTGCCTTTAGTTGTCATATTTCTTTAGGATGAAATGTTATATGTGTTTTTCTTGAATCCTTACCCCTACCCAGCAGTGCTTAGCACAATGCTGTAAACTTAATAGCAATTCAGTACTACTTTGAATTGAATTAGAAACAAGAGGTTTAATAGTAATAATTGCAGCTTCTCATACCCTATGACAAACACTTCTTGTTATATACCCAACAGTCATTCCCCTGAGTTGATGGATGTAGTGGTGGTTGGATGGAAAGATGGGTAAGTGAATAGATAGATGATGGATAGGATGGTGGGTAAATGGGTGGATAAGGAATAGTTGGATAGAGGGATGGATGGATAGATAGATAGATAATGGATGATAGATGGACTCATGAGACTCTTGGTTGTCACCGGAATAGTTGGATAGAGGGATGGATGGATAGATAGATAATGGATGATAGATGGACTCATGAGATTCCTGGTTGTCGCTAGTGGTATGAATGAATAGGATGAGGTATATAGATAGATAAGGGGAGGAATCAGTGAATTTGTAGATGGTTGAATGGTTAAATCAGGGTAATTGGTGGGTAGATGCTATTTGTATATGATGTAATGGATGAAGTACTCAGATGGGAATCAGAAGTCCTTGGTTCAGGCTCCAGCTCACCTGCTACTAGCTGGGTTCTTGGTGAGCTCCTTCCCTACCCAGGACCTCAGCAGCATCCTCTGTAAAACAAGAGGTTTTTGAAATTTTCTTCCAGTTTGGACCAATTCCTGTCTCAGAAACATTAAGTAATTTCCCCAAGTTCATGGAGCCATTGCATGATGGAGCCCAGATTTGAAGCTGGGCAATCTGGCTCCAAATAGCATGTTTTTCAACTATTCTGCGTCACTGCCACCACTGGGACATCAGAAGGAAAGCTGGAAGGTGCCCAGCCCCCAGCCCCCAGCCCACCAAGCCACCGTCCCTGCCAGTCGCTCCGAGGCCCTGCACCAGGACACACCTAGGCTCATTCCACATGTTCCGCCTCACCCAGAGCCCAAGGGATGGCGCAGGTGGCATTTTCCACAGGCCCCTCCCTGTTGGCTTTCAGCCCAGCTCAGACTCTCCATTCCTGGTCCCCAGCGCCCTTTGTCACCCCCTCACCCCCACACTCTGCAGCTCGCAAGACTTCCTGCCTCCTCCAAGCACCACAGGCACCAGGAAAGGAGCTGCAACTCCAAGACCTGGCTCCTTGGCGACCACGTGTAAGGGGAAGTTTAGCACCTACCCACGTGGGCAGGAAGGGCTCGCAACTTTCAAGGCGCTTTCAGATAAACATCACTTGCCTCCTGGGTCCTACAGAAGGAGGCCCAGCAAGTGCTGAAGATGACAACAAACAGGGGACCCAAAATAAATGAAGAAAAACAAAATATTTTAGAAGGATTTTTATATGTAATACAGTAAAAACACCATCAAAATAATAGTCATGAAAAACAAAATCAAAACTCAGCTGGACTATGGTATTTCCAGTGTCGTTTTAATTGTGTCTGACTTGTGGGAAAAGGAAAGCTGACTGTGTGGCCCACACACAGTCTTTTTTTAAAAAATATATTTTTATTGATTTTAGAGATGAAGGGAGAGGGAGAGATAGAAACATCAATGATGAGGGAGAATCATTGATCAGCTGCCTCCCACGCGTACCACATTGGGGACCTATGACCCCCTGGTTCATAGGTCGAACACTCAACCACTGAGCCACACCGGCTGGGCCCTCAGAAAGTCTTAATGTGGCCCTGCCTTTGGGGAGTTTGGAGCAGTGAGACTGACCGGGCTGAGCTGACCAAGGCAGGGAGAGCTGAGGCCTGGGCCCCTGATTCGGGCATTCTGCTGACATGAGTGCCACATGGAACCTCAGAGAAGCCATAGGGCTGCCTCTCCCAGCCTCGGGTCCCTGCAGCTCAGCTTGTCTAGGCCCATCTTCAGATCAGGAGTGGTCTTCCCCACTCCTAGATGCAGTTCTTGGAGCCAGAGCAAAGGTGGGGGGTAGGGGTAGGGACGGGTGTGTTTGACATGTCCAAGGCCACATGGCCAGTTCCAGACACAGCCAAGACTTGAACCTTATGTGGTATGAAGTGAAGGACTCGAGTAACTGACGTCATTTGTACCGATGTAAAAACAGGAGCCTTTGCTGAGAGCTGTCGCTGGCAGTGAGCCAAAGTGGTAACTGGGCCAAGAGTTTGCTCTGAGACTTAAAGTTGGACGAAAGCTTAATGTGCTATTGCCACACCCTTTTGCAGACATTAGCCAGCCTTCAGTCTCTATTAGAACATGTATTTGATGCATCTTCACACTAGCCTGTCATTCTTCATTCAAGCTAGTAACCCTTGCTGAGCACCAGCTCTGGGCTAGGTGCCTCAAGAAGAAGACATGTAAACAAAGAATTCACAACCCACTTTGTGACTGTGATGGGGTTTATGCTAAGTGCGCTAGGAGCACAATTAAAGAATGACTCATTAATTTTGTCTGAGGAGGTTGGAGAAAGTCTCAGCAGGTGGCTCATAAAGAGAAAAAAGTGAGAGGAAGAAGCCAAATTTATTGAGCATGGTATTAGGGTAAGGCTAGTTGCTGTAACAAGCAAACCCCAAAATGGACAGTGGGCCAAATGTGATAGGAGTTAATTATTTATTCTTATAAAGTCCCAAACTGTGTTTCCAATGAGCAGGTGACTCTCCTCCACGTGGTGACTCAGGGACCCAGCCTCCTTCCACATTGGTGAAAGAAGAGAAGAAAGTTGCAAAGTGAAGTTTATGAGAATCTGTCGTTCACACTATCAAGCATGTATAGGTCATGGCTACCTCAATAGGATTTAAAACAGACCCCATTAATCTCATATATGATGCAGATAGAAAAACATTAAATAAAGTAGTAGCAAACAAACAAAAATGCTAGTGAACAAAAACCAACAGTACTTTAAAAAATAGTCCATTGTGACTATTTAACATGTGTTGGGAATATTATGTTACACAGCATTATTGTAGCAAAAGCTGCCTAATACACCAAAGAATAAAGAACTTGCTCGATATGCTGCAGCAGCTATTAAAAGACCTGGCTTTTAATCTAGCTCCACGATTAACTATCTGTGGGACCTTTAATCTCTCCAAGATTCAGGTGCTTGCCCTATGGAATCTCTCTGCTTATTTGGGAAGTACAAGTCCAACTGGGCCAGGATCACTCCAGCCAACGACCACCTAAGACCCATGCCTGTTACTGACCCAATAAGTGACAGGTAGGAAGGGTCCATTTAGAAGGTTTGTAAGCCCTTCAGAGTATCTGTCTATTTTATCTTGTAAAATTAAGCTTAGAATTTCTACCACGTGTAATACGAAACACAGATCACTTATTTTGAGCCTATCTCACATGAAGTGTTTTTGAGAACTGTTCGTGTTTCTGCGCATGTATTTATTTAATCAAATAATTATCTGTGGATATTTTTAAATGTTTATTTGGTCAGCCAAAGATTTACTCTGTGTGAAAAATGACTGAATCATGTGTGAGAACTCTGGGAAGCCATAGAAGAAATGCTAACAAATATCAGAGAAGCAAAGAAATAAACTATGACGGGCGCGAAAGCTAATTTGTTTGAGTACACAAAGACAATAATAGAATTTTTATCAAGATCTGATGTAAAAGGAAAGAAATGAAGTTCTGTGAATGTTTCACTTACAAATTAACCTCTAGGGCAGCGGTTCTCAACCTGTGGGTCGCGACCCCTATGGCGGTCGAACGACCCTTTCACAGGGGTCGCCTAAGACCATCCTGCATATCAGATACTTACATGACGATTCATAACATAGCATCATTACAGTTATGAAGTAGCAACGAAAATAGTTTTATGGTTGGGTCACAACATGAGGAACTGTATTTAAAGGGTCAGAAGGTTGAGAACCGCTGCTCTAGGGTGTCCTGGTCAGATGACCACGGCGTAGAGGGGTTCCCGGCAGGACCCTTCTCATTAGTTTTACAATGTTTGGTAGTTTGGGTTTGCCCAGGCAGCTGGGTTTGCACACTCTCTGTTGTTGTTGTTGTTGTTGTTCATTAAATCAACTCCCACCAAGTGGACAGATGGCTTTCAAAGACTCCTGCAAGAATCTATGGGCTGAAGATAGTACTAAACACGTGAGCTCAGGAGAAAAGCAAGCAAATGACAAGGCTGACCCTCTTCTCTTCTGAGGACAGCCCTTACCTTCAGCTGCATTGAGATAAAACCGGTGACAATTCTGAGAAGCAATTACCCCTTGCCCCCAATTTTAAATTCTCAAGGAGACTCTCTAAAGAGAGGGTTTATTCCCATCATTGTAAAGGAAGGCGCTGCACTCAGTCTATATTGGGCCTGGAGATGTTAATTCCTGATAGCAGTGCTTGAGCATAATTTATAGGCACTTCCATGTACATATTTGGAAGGACGCATGCTCGGAAATTTGAGCTGGCAGGGTGCGTGATCAGAAAGTTTGGAAGCGGCCTTATGACGGCCCAGGCGGGCATACAACATCAGAGAATGGGAAGGAGGGTTGGAACTGAGAGCAGGAGAGGCTGCTTAGCTGAGGGTCGCTGCCTAGCAGCTTTATTTAACCTCTTCAGGTTTCTGTAGAATGTGGGTGACAATTGTACCTACTTCATAGGCCCATTATAAGGATTTAATGAGTTAACACCTAAAACAGTGTTGGCTCAGAGTAAATGTTCCCTAAGAGTCTGTTGTATAAGTTGCAAAGTCCCATTAGGATTTTAAGTGGAAACACTGACTATGAATAAATAATATTCCAGGACATAACCTAGCATGTCACCCACGTGAGCTATTGGGAATAAGGGTCAAACACAAGTGGCAAATGGAAGCCAATGCCAGGCTGTGTCCAGCTACTGGAATCACAATCCTGGAGCTCCCCCCTCCCATGGGAGGCACAGGACATCATCTATCTGTCAGGCCCCACACTGGCTCCTGGGATGAGAGGTGAGTAAAATTCAGATGCTGATGGAGGTCCCAGCCCGATGATGGAGACAATGATGCCATCAGACATGACGACCCAATGAGACGGGGCTGGGACCAGGTAGGGCCTGGCCTTGGTTTGGGTCTGCTTCCCTCCTCTGGTATGGATAACTCTCCTGCTGACCTGGGCCCCCTCCTCTCTCCTCACCTAGACTCCCTCCTCTCTCCTCCATCTGGACCCCCTCCTCTCTCCTCCATCTGGAGCTCAGGGCATCAGCCCCCATAGCAACCAGGGTCCCTGAGAGAGAATGCTAATCTCAGCAACTAAAGTCACCAGATGGGGCAGCCAACGTGAGAGAGGCCACTTGAAGTCAGATTAAGGTGGTCAGTCCCCAGGAACAAGGGACACAGGGAACAATGGCGCCCCAGGGCACCCGCCTGGGCTTTCTAACATGGGGACCTATTATTTATCCGAGTGGTGTGGGCTGGAAGTCAATTTGTTTTACAAGAGCCCAGAGGGTGAGCGCCCTGTTCTTTCCTCCAAATTATAACTAAACAAATGCAGTATAATCGAATGGAATTAAATTTGTATGTTGCAGGTGGGCTGGGACAATAGAATTTAAAGGCTGGAGCAGGCACCAGGCCTAAAGAGGACTAAGGCCCTAAGAAGCTGGGATGGGAGGGGAAGGACGTTGTGAACAGAAAAGGGGGAGGGCCCCAGGCTGCTCTGCCCGCCTCCTGTCCAGAGCCCTGTGGTCACAA